CAGTGTGACTGTTCAGAAACCTTGATCTCTACAGATGACTTTAATTCAGTTGTTCCTTCATCTGCTAATATTTGAGACTTGCTGTGCCCAAGACACTAGGTGGAGAGTTGGAGAGAGGCACATGGGTATCGTAAATGCAGGCGTCAAGCTGAGATGCGCTATGCCCTGAGAGAAAGAGTTCTTATCTGGAGGAAACAAGCCGTGCCTCATTCTAAACCAGACTGATGTTCAAACTGCTTTTGGGACATCTTCACATTCACACATCCCAAACCAAACACTCTATCATGTTCCCTTCTACCCACCCTCATCGCCACCTAACTCGTTTGACCTCTTATATCCTCTATCATTTCTATCATAACCTCCCAAATATCAAGGCCAGAAATACTGGCAAACTGATTTTTTTTATTTAATTCACTTTTTAAAAATTGAGGTAGAGTGACTTACATTATATTAGTTTCAGGTGTACAACATAGTAATTCAATATTTTATGAATGTACTCCATGGAAAGATACTATAAAATAGTGACTATATTCCTTGTACTGTACAGAGCATCTTTGTAACTTAATTGTTTCACACCTGGTAGTTTGTAACTCTCAATCTCCTTCACCTATTTTGGCCCTCCCCCAGCCCTCTCCCCTCTGGTGACCACTAGTTTGTTCTCTGAATCAGTGAGTCTGTATCTGTTTTGCTGTATTTCTTCATTTGTTTTATTTTTTAGATTCCACATATACTATCCATCTTTATCTGACTTATTTCACCAAGTATAATAACCCTCCGGATCAACTTATGTTGTCGCAAATGGCAAAATGTTATTCTTTTTCAATTTTGAGTAATAATCCATTGTGTATATGTACATATATACATACATAAATATACATATAAATACACACACATATCTACCACATCTTTACCCATTCACCTGTTGATGGACACTTAGATAGTTCTCACAACTTGGCTACTGTACATAACGCTGCTATAAACATTGGAGCGGATATATCTTTTTGAATTAGTGTTTTCATTTTCTTCAGATAAATGTTGAATCACATGGTAGTTCTATTTTTAATTTTTTGAGCAATTTCCCTACAGTTTTCCATAGGGAACTTACATTCCCACCAAAGGTACACAAGGGTTCCCTTTTCTCCACATCTTTGTCAAGTTTTTTCTTTTTGTCTTTTTGATACTAGCCATTCTAAGGTGTGAGGTGATAGCTCGTGGTTTTGGTTTTGATTTGCATTTCCCTGATGATCAGTGATAATGAGCATCTTTTCATGTACCTGTTGGCCATCTGTATGTCTTCTTTGGAAAAATGTCTATTTAGATCTTCTGCCCAATTTTTAATTGGGTTGTTTGTTATTTTGGTATTGAGTTGTATGAGTTCTTTATATATTTTGGATATTAACCCTTAATCTGACATATCATTTGTAAATATATTCTCCCATTCAGTAGGTCATTTTCTCATTTTGTTGGTGGTTCCCTTCACTGTGTAAAAGCTTTTAATTTTTATTAGGTCTCATTTGTTTATTTTTGCTTTTGTTATCCTTGCCTGAGGAGACAAATCCAAAAAAAACATTGCTAAGACCAATGTCAAAGAATTCACTGCCATATGTTTTCTTTTACTTTTATGATTTCAGGTCTTACATTTAGGTCTTTAATTCATTGAGTTTATTTTTGTATATGGCATGAGAAAAATAATTTCATTCTTTTACATTTAGCTGTCCAATTATCCCAACACTACTTACTGAAGAGTCTGTCTTTTTCTTATTGTATATTCTTGCCTCCTTTGTCACAGATTAAATGACCATATGTGTGTGGTTTTATTTCTGAGGTCTCTATTCTGTTCCATTGATCTATGTCCAGTTTTGTGCCAGTACCACACTATTTTGATTACTATAGCTTTGTAGCATAGTCTGAAGTCAGGGAGCATGATACCTCCATCTTTATTCTTTTTTCTCAAGACTGCTTTGGCTATTCAGGGTCTTTTGTGGTTCCATAGAAATTTTAAGACTATTTATTCTAATTCTGTGGAGAATGTCATGAGTATTTTGATAGGGATTGCATTAAATCTGTAGACTGCTTTGGGTAGTGAGGACAATTAAAAAAATTAATTCTTCCAATTTATGAACATGGGATATCTTTCCATTTATTTATAGTGTCTTCAGTTTTCTTCATCAGTGTCTTATAGTTTACAGAGCACAGCTCTTTCACCACCTTTGTTAAATTTATTCCTAGATATTTTATTCTTTTTTATATGTCTGTAAATGGGATTCATTTCTCTTTCCAACAGTTTCATTATTAGTGTATAGAAATGTAACAGATTTCTGTATATTAATCTTGTGTCCTATAACTTTGCAGAATTCATATTAGTTCTAGCAGGATTTTTTTGGTGGAATCTTTAGCATTTTCCATATCTGGTATCATGTTATCTGCAAACAGTGACAGTTTTACTTCTTCTCTTCCAGTTGAATGCATTTATTTCTTTTTCTTGTCTGCTGTGTCTAGGACTTCCAATACTGTATTAAATAGAAGTGGCAAGAGTGGGTATCCTTGTCTTGTTCCTGATCTTAGAGGAAATGCCTTTTTCCACCATTGAATATGTTACTTGTAGCTCTGTCATATGGCCTTATTATTTTGAGGTATGTTCCTTCTGTAGCAACTTTGTTGAGAATTTTTATCATAAATGGATACTGAATTTTGAAAAAAAAATTTCTGCATCTATTGAGATGATTGTAGGTTTTTATCCTTGGTGCTGATGTGATATATCATATTAATTGATTAACTGATTTGTAGATATTGAAACATCCTTGCATCCCTGGAATAAATTCCACTTCATCATGATGTATGACCCTTTTTGTGTATTGTTGAATTCAGTTTGCTAGTATTTTGTTGAGGATTCTTGCATCTATTTCATCAGAGATACTGGCCTGTAATTTTTTTTGTAGTGTCTTTATCTGGTTTTGATATCACAGTAATGCTAGCCTCAAAGAATGATTTGGGTACTGTTCTCTCCACTTCAATTTTTTGAAACAGTTTGAGAAGGACAGGTATTAACTCTTCTTTAAACGTCTGGTAGAACTCCCCTGTGAAGTTATCTAGTCCTAGAATTTCGTTTGTTGGGAATTTTTTGATTACTGATGGATATGGGTTGTAACTTTTTCCATTTCTAATTTAAAAGATTTGAACAGTCTCTCTTTTTTTTCTTAGAGCCTGGCTAAACTTTATCAATTTTGTTTATCTTTTCAAAAAACTAGCTCCTGGTTTCAATGATCTTTTCTATTGATTTTCTGGGGGGGGGGCCCTCTATTTTATTTTTATTTATTTCCACTCTGATCATTATTTTTCCCCTTCTGTTGACTTTGTGCTTTGTTCTTCTTTTTCTAATTCCTTTAGATGGAAAGTGAGGTTGTTGGAGATTTTTCTTATTTCCTAAGGTAAGCTTCTATCACCACAAACTTCCCACATAGCACTGTTTTTGCTGTGCCCCATGCATTTTGGAAAGTACTTTAGTACTTTATATATTTAGGTGCTCCTGTATTGGGTGCGTATACATTAACAAGTCTAATATCTTCCTCTTGGATTGATCTTTTTATCATTATTAATGCCCTCCTTTGTCTTTTGTTATAGATTTTGTCCTAAAGTCTATTTTGTGCGATATGAGTACTGCTACCCCAGGTTTTCATTTCTCTTTGCATAGAATATCTTTTTCCATCCCCTCACTTTCAGGGTGCATGTGTCTTTAACTCCAAAGTGAGTCTCTTGTACATAACATATAGCTGTGTTCTGTTTTTCAATCCAATCAGACTCTCTATGGTTTTTGATGGAGCATTTAGTCTATTTACAGTAAAAGTGATTATTAATAGGTATGTACTTATTGCCATTTTGTTACTTGTTTTCTGGTCGCATTTGTACTTCCGAGCTCTACCTGCTACCAGACTCCATATGGTTCTTTCTGTACAACCTTGGCTGTAGAAGAGCTGTTCCGACATTCTTCAAGTCGTCCTCAGAGAGAGTTGCTTTATATGTAGTTGCCATTTTGATGTGTGTGTTGGGGGAGGTGAGCTCAGGGTCTTCCTATTTCACCATCTTGATCCCATCCAGGCAAATATGGAAAGTTTAAACTTCTTCCTCTTGCCCATCACTGAACTAAAGGCCAAGTCCTTGTGAATTCACCTTGATTATATTTCTTAAACTTATCCCTACCCTCTACATTTACCACTTCTCTTCTCAACTGCCCCAGGCTCCAGCTGCTCTTTGGAGTCCAGTGCTTTGTAACAAAGAAAAAATTTATAGCGTTTTTGGTGTTATTGTTTTTAAGATAAGAAACACATGTTGAAGGCAATATAGAGGTAGTGGAAAGAGCATGTGCTTTGGGCTCAAAAAGATAATCTGGAATCTTGGTTCTATTTATTAACTGAGTGACCTTGAACAACTTACTTATTTCTCTGAGCCTCAGTTTCTTTCTCTGTAAAAAGTAGACATAACACCTAAATAACAGCTTTGTAAGGATAATGGAATCTAAATTATCACAGGTATTCACTATACAGTAGCCATTATGGTACTATAGTTGTGTTTAATCCATACACCTCTATACACATCTCATTTGTTACAGGTACTTAAATATTAAATTTGCAGTAGATTGAAAATATAAATCATAATTACAATCCTGTGTTTCTGAAATTTGCTAGGTTCTCCTGAATCTTTTTAGGTATAAGTTAATTTTGTAGATCTTCAATCCAGGCTTATTTGAAAAACTGACACCAAACAAAAGGAATGGAAAATTTAATGACAGCAACAGTCTTTTCACTATTATCCTGTGTAAGTGAAGCCCAGATGACACGCAGGGAGCATATTCAGTAAGCCAGAAAGTAGGCCCACTTTCACCCTCTTAACCAAGCAAAACTGTTCTTAAGTCACAAATTTAAAATCCCCAAACAGGGTTCACAGCAATACGTTCGCTGTGATATGAACCTGCACTAGAGTTCTTAATTGCACAATGCACTTACTTGTTCCACGTAATAAAAGTTGCTCTCTGTGTTGAAATTCCAAGACCAACAATTTGATTCATCTCTATTCCTGCAGCTAAAAACAGAGACAGGTAAAACACGTTTAAAGTTCATGAAGTTTTGCTTCACAATAATACCAATGTGGAAATCACTCGACATAATTTTAAGAAAAACAAACTGGGTTTAGCATTTTAATAACACGATTGGAGCTAATAAAGCATCACTAGGACAATTTTTGTAGTACTTTTTTTTCTTAAAAGGAAAAAAGGTCATATTCTAATAACAAAATGGCCTTTTTGCTTTACAGGTTAGGGAAAAACACAACTTTAAGTAAGCCATGTATTTTCTTCTTGACATTACTAAAAAATTAGATCTTAATTTACGCAATGATCAGCCATCATAGAAGCTGATTAATGGCAGCAAGGGAAAAGTCCTTAGGGAAAATATGTAAATACTGAAGCACAGATCTTATTTTCCACATAAACAGATGTTAGAATACAAATTAAAACATGCATTTTGGAGGTCCAAATATCCTAGTGTATAGCAACTCAAATGTTTTCATGATATTCTTTTTAAAAAGCAATTTATCCCACTGAGCAAATTAGGAACAACTTCACCCCCCGGTATAGTACTCCTGCCAAAAATATTTAAGTTGAATCTATCACGAGGAAATAATTAGACAATCTCCAAATGCAGGACAGTCTATTAAACTGGTCTGCACCTTTGAAAACTGTCAGTGTCATGAAGAATACACTCTAGACTAAAGGAGACTAAACACACTGACTGTTAGGTGCAGTGTCTCATCTTTGGTTGGATTGTGAATTGAAAAAATAATTATTCATGACTAAGATCAGAGGGGAATATTGAAGAGTAAGTATTAGAAAACATTCAATTTCCTATATAATAATTGCACTGTATTTATGTAGAATACTCATTTTCTTTGGAGATAATGAAGTATGTAGAGATGACAGGATATTACATCACAACCAACTCTCACACTGGCCAAGCCAAAAAGAAGAAACGTTTGCAGAGAATGGTAAACACTGCAAAATATGTTCGAATCTATGAGGAAGTATACAGGTGTTCAATGTAGTATTCCTGCCACCTTTTCTTAAAAATAAGTTTTGAAATACTTCAAACCTAAGGAGAAGCAATTCCATCAGAAAAAAATGAAGTAAAAGATCTTTTAGAATTTACATTTACAAGTCATTATTGGCCATGTTCTTTAAGAAGGCTGCATTGAAAACGTTCTTAAAGAGCTAAGATTTCAGACCATGGCTGTGGCCAGGAGGGCATTTTGCAGCAGAAGGGCCCACAGGAAAAAAAATAAAACAACAAAAACTTACTTTACAACAAAGGTAATTCAGCTGTAAACTGCGAGCAGGAACTGTGTGCTGTAACTTTGTTTATAACACTCAGGTATTTTATACATAACAGGAAATCAAATTGGCACTAGCTACAGCCTAGAACCAAGAAGGAAGGTGAGCCCTTGTCCCGCAGCTCAAAAGGTTTACAGCAGAGGACAGAGCAGCTGCTACCCTCCCCTGACAAAGTGATTCACTGTAAACTGCAAATGTCCCTCCAAAATACTGGGAAACTGGGACCCCATAAAATACTACCATATGTATAACTATAACCTAGGGAACTCACAAAATTCTACAGACGCCTGAGGAAAACTCGTAATATATACATAATGGACTTTACTGACTAGTTTTATTTTATAAATCCAGTTACCTTTGACCGATTCTTTTACTACAGCAACAAATTGAAGCCAGAGAACATCAGGGTCAATTTCAACCCAGCCAGTTTGAGGATAAAGACTCTCTACCTATGCAGGAAAAGAGAAGATACAGTAAAAGCATTAGATCAAATCAGTAGCATCCGGGTCTTAAGGTGACTGGGTTAAAAATAAAATAAAAACGTGATTTTATGTATTACGTAACTCACTTCTATTGTTAAGATGGAAAAAAATACATATCTGAAATAAAAAAGGATGATACACCAAAATACGTTTTCTTTAGTTCATAAGTTTATAGAAGATTTTAGTTTTCTGTATTTTATCTTTACTTTCTAAGCTTTCTACAATGAAGATGCGTTGATTTTGTAATAAGAAAAAGTCAAACTTCAAAAAAAAAAAAGGTTAAAATTCGCAAATAAAGTACTGAGTTCCAGTTCAGACTGTGACGGAGTGAGCACACGCCACCCCGTCCCTCCCAATGAGTACTGGTAGGAGACCTGGACAGTACGCGTGGAGCAGTTCTATGGACTGCACAAAGCATACGGTGGCAGGCCGACGGGGGAAGAAGATAAGTAATTAGAGTATAACTAAACTGGGGGTGAGCGTCTCATTTTTCTTGTGGCCTGACCTCAAGGCAGCCTGGAAACCAGCAGCGGCTATCAGGGTACAGTGGAAACTCCAGGAGAGTTCTGGCTAACACTCAGAGGGAATGGGAGAAATCCCCCAGCTTTCTTTTTTATCCCCCTTTGCCTCCACACTTTTCTATCTGGACTATCCCACAGTGATGGCTGCAGCAGTAAACACAAGCACCTGAAATGTTAAGTGAGGGAACACTTCCTCTCTAATCAGATGAGCTGTGGGCCCAGGGGGCCAAGGTGAGCCCCCAAAGGCCTTTTTCTGTCTGTGTGCTCCTGGTCCCTAGCCCCAAATCCAAGCATAGGAAGTGCCCAGCAGAATGGGATAATGAAAGCTCCAGCTTCCGGTAAGAGGACCCAAATGGGGAGACTCAGGGAACTGAAAAGTACCAGGAAGATCTCAGAGGGAAGACCTTGCTAAAGCTACTCCAGAAAAAAGTCATGGATGAATTCCTAGGCTCACCTCGAAGCTGCACGTGTGTGAATAGAACCCTAATCAACACGGCAAAGACGCTAAGAGCAGAACTAAGGAACAGACCACTGCCCGGGTCCCAGACTGACCTCAAGGTGGCAAATATTACACAGGGAAGATCCAAACACTACTGTTTGTTCTGTTTTGAAAACAGAACTAACATTGAAACCAAAGTTCACAGAAGGCTGGTCATCACTTGTAGCCTGAACACAAGTGTATTTATCACCTACTAAAAGAAAAATACTAACATTCGTCATAGGCTTTACACAAGTCCCAGAGTCTTATAACATGATATTCAAAATATCCAGGATACCATCCAAAATTACAAGGTATATGAAGAACCAGAAAAATCTCAGCTCACATGGGACAGATAACAGATACCAACACTGACATAACACAGATATCTGATTAAAGATTTTAAAGCAGCTATTATTAAAATGCTCCAAGAAGTAAAGGCAAAAAAATGGAAAGATAGAAAGTCTCAGCAAATAAATACAAGACATAAAGAAAAATGAAATGACAATTTCAGAATTTAAAAATACAATAATTAGGGGAGTGGAGGAAATGGAGAGATACTGGGCAAAGGATACAAACTTTCAGCTATAACATTACTGAATAAAGTCTAGAGACTCAATATACAGTGTGGTGACTACAGTTAATGTATTGTACACTTGAAATTTGCTAAGAGAGTAGTTCTCAAGTGTTCTCACTACACACACATACATATGGTAATCATGTGAGATGAACGTGTTAATTAGCTTGATTATGGTAATCATTTCACAATGTATCAGTATAATAAAACATCAATTTATATGCCTTAAATATATACAACTTTTAGTTGTCAACCATACCTCAATAAAGCTGGAAAAAATCCATTAAAAAAGAAAATATAATAATTAAAATAAAAACATACTGGATGAGTTCAATAGTAGAATGGCAATAACAAAAGAAAGTCAATAAGCTTGAAGACAGATCAAGAGAAATTATCTAATCTGAACAACAAAAAGAAAAAAAGAACAAAGCTTCAGGGATCTGTGGGACAAGAAGAAATGGTCTAATATTTATGTCATTATTGGCTCCAAAGAGGAAAACAAAGAGTTCAGTGTAGAAAAAAAGTACTTCAAGGAAGTAATAGTGCTAAAAATTCCCAAGTTCAGTGAAATACTTAAAATCTATATATTCAAGAAGCTTAGAAAACTCCTAACAGGATAAGTCCAAAGCATTACATGGCCAGATCCAGCATAATTCAAGTGCTGAAAACAGAAAACAAAATAAAACAAAATTGAAAGCAACCAGACACATTACATACATAGAACAATGATTCAAGAGACTGTAGACTTCTCACCAGAACCATGAAGGCCAGGAGGAAGTGGCTAACATTTTTAGAGAGCTAAAAGAACTCTCATCCAGAATTCTACATCAAAATCCTAGGATTTTCTTATAGATATAGATATGATGATCCTAAAATTCATATGGAAAGGCAAAAGAACTAAAACAGTCAAAACAATGTTGAAAAAGAATAAAATTGGAGGAGTCACATTACACAATTTCAAGACTTATTATAAAGCCATAGTAATCAAAACAGTGTAATCATAAAAACAGACAAATAGAACAATGGAACACAAGAGAATCCAGAAACAGACTCACACAAATATGGCTAGTTGATTTTTGACAAATATACAAGGCAATTTAATGGAGAAAAGATAGCTCTTTCAACGATTGGAATAGTTATACATCCATATGCGAAAGAAATTAGCTTCAACCTAATCTCACATCTTAACACAAAAAATTAAGTCAAAATGAATCATAGCTCTAAATGTAAAACATAAAACTGTAAAATACTTGGGAAAAAATCACAGGAGAAAATCTTTGTGACTTGGAATTAGGTGAAGAGTTCTTACATATGATACCAAAAGTACAATTCATAAAACAAACTAAAAAAATGATAACCTGGGCTTCATCAAAACTTAAAATGTTCGCTCTGCAAAACATACTGTTTAGAAAATGAAAAGACAAAGTCAGACTGGATGAAAATATCACATTTAACAAAGGACTTATATCTAGAATATATTAAAAAATCTCAAAATCCAACAGTAAGAAAACAACTCAATTAAAAAATGGGCAAAAGACCTGAACAGGCATTTTATCTAAGAAGATATATGGATAGGAAATATGCACATAGAAATATTCACCGTCATTAGCCATTAGGGAAATGCAAATCAAACCCACAATGAGATACCACTACATCTATTAGGTTGCCTAAATAAAAAATACTAACAATATCATATACATGTGTTGGGGAAGAACAAGTGGAACTCATGTGCATTGCTGTTGGGAATGCAAGATGGTAGAGTCACTGAAAACTTTTGCAATTAATTAATTAAGTTAAACATTCACTTACCATATGACCCAACAATCCCACTCCTAGGTATTTATTTTAGAGAAATGAAAACTTACATTCACATTAAAAATCCATACACAAATGTTTATAGCAGCTCTATTGAAAATTACCAGAAGCTGGAAACAACCCAAATGTACTTCAACAGGTGAATGAATTGTGTACATATCCACAATAATGGATTACTACTCAGAAATAAAAAGGAATGAACTCTTGATACAGACAACAATACAGATGAATCTCAAAGGCATTATGCTGAACAAAGCCAGTCTCCAAAGGCTACTTACTGTATTGTTCACTTATATGACATTCTCAAGATGACAAAAAACTATACTCATCGAAAATAGACCAGTGGTTTTCAGAGATTAGGGAGGAGGGTCTGACTACAAAGGGCTAGCACAAAGGAGCCTGGGGGGTTACTTCTACGCATGTGCTAAAACTCACAGAACTTATTCACAAAAAAAGTAAATTTTACTCATATGCTGATTTTAAAAATAAAATAAAAAGAACCTATGGCTTAAGGTTAAAATGATGGCTTGAACATAAATTTTCTCCAATTCTTCTCAAGACTCCATTTAAATAAAAACATGAAAAAGGTTTCTGCAGAAAGATAAGGAGAGCAAACAGGCTTAGACCAGGTTTTTACAAATGTTTTTAATATAAACAGT